CTTCAGCTCAGGTCGTGATCTCATGGTTCGTGGGTTCAAGCCCCGCATCAGGCTCTGTGCTGACAGCCAGCTCAGAGCCTGGAGCCTGTTTCAGATTCTGTATCTCCCTCTCTCTCTGACCCTCCCCTGCTCATACTGTGTGTGTGTCTCTTTCAGAAATAAATTTCTTTAAAAAAACATTTTTAAAAAAGGTTAATCGTTATGTGGCACAAACACAGACACTCAGATCAATGGAACAGAATAGAGAACCCAGAAATGGGCCCACAAATGTATGGCCAACTAATCTTTGACAAAGCAGGAAAGAATATCCAATGGAATAAAGACAGTCTCTTCAGCAAATGGTGCTGGGAAAACTGGACAGCAACATGCAGAATAATGAACCTGGACCACTTTCTTATACCATACACAAAAATAAACTCAAAATTGATGAAAGGCCTAAACATAAGACAGGAAGCCATCAAAATCCTTGAGGAGACAGCAGGCAAAAACCTCTCTGACCTTGGTCACAGCAACTTCTTCTTATTCAACACATCTCCAGAGACAAGGGAAACAAAAGCAAAAAGAACTATTGGGACTTCATCAAGATAAAAATCTTCTGCATAGCAAAGGAAATCAGGAAAACTAAATGTCAACCAATGGAATGGAAGAAGATAATTGCAAATGACATATTAGATAAAGGGTTAATATCCAAAAATCTATAAAGAACTTATCAAATTCAATACCCAAAAAAGCAAATAATCCAGTGAAGAACTGGGCAAAAGACATGAATAGACACTTCTCCAAAGAGGACATCTAGATAGCTAACAGACATGTGAAAAAATGCTCAACATCACTCATCATCAGGGAAATACAAATCAAAATCACAACGAGATACCACCTCGCACCTGTCAGAATGGCCAATATTAATAACTCAGGCAACAACAGATGTTGGTGAGGATGCGGAGAAAGAGAATCTCTTTGGCACTGCTGGTGGGAATGCAAACTGGTGCAGCCACTCTGGAAAACAGTATGGAGGTTCCTCAAAAAATTAAAGATAAAACTACCCTATAATCCAGCAATTGCACTACTAGGTATTTATCCAAGGGATACAGGTGTGCTGTTTCAAGGGGGCACATGCACCCCAATGCTTTTGGGTTTTTTAAATTTTTTTTTTTTTTAAATTTCTGAGAGAGAGAGAGAGACAGCATGAGCAGGGGAGGGTCAGAGAGAGAGGGAGATACAGAATCTGAAACAGGCTCCAGGCTCTGAGCTGGCTTGTCAGCACAGGGCCTGATGCAGGGCTTGAGCCCATGAACTGTGTGATCATGACCTGAGCCGAAGTCGGACGCCTAACCAACTGAGCCACCTAGGTGCCCTGCACCCCAATATTTATAGCAGCACTATAGACAATAGCCAAAGCATAGAAACAGCCCAAATGGATAAAGAAGATGTGATATATATACAATGGAGTATTGCTCAGCTATCAAAAATAATGAAACCTTGCCATTGGTAACTATGTGGATGGAACTAAACGGTACTATGCTAAGTGAAATTAATCCGAGAAAGACAAATATCATATGGCTTCACTCATATGAGGACTTTAAGATACAAAACAGATGAGCATAGGGAAGGGAAGCAAAAATAATATAAAAACAGGGAGGGGGACAAAACATAAGAAACTCTTAAACAGAGAACAAACAGAGGCTTGCTGGAGAGGTTGAGAAAGGGGGATGGGCTAAATGGGTAAGGGGCATTAAGGAATCTACTCCTGAAATAATTTTTGCACTATATGTTAACTTGGATGTAAATTAAAAAATAAATTAATTATTTAAGAAAAAGTAATTAAAACCAGAGCAGTTCTACGGGGAGAGGTTGGTAAATGCAGAGTTGCCCTCTTGCCCTCCCCAGGGAACTATAGGGTACCAAAGAGCACAGTTTGAAAACCACAGTTCATCTAACTCCTTCGTCTCCCAGATGAGGACAATGGCACCAAATGGTCTAATTTTCACCCAAGGTCACACAGCTAATCAGAGACAAACTGCCTGGGCTAGAAGCTGGATATCCAATACCAAGGAACTTACCAACTACCTATGGAAACACAATGCATGTATGCTAGAACGCGGAAGAGATTTCAGGGTGTTTTTCAGGTTGTATTACCAAAGCCCGAGACTTGGCGTCGTCCCCTTGCTCTTTGGGCTTCAGTTTCTCAACTGAACTTTCTGTTCTTAATAACTTATGTCTAAGAATCTATTGCCACGAAAACGGTGATCACTTACATGCTCAGTCGCACCACGTTTTCTTTGAATACTTTTATGAATTTGGGGATCTGTTGTGAATTTAAATATGAATGTAAAATAAAAATGTTGACATTGTAAAAATAAATAAATAAAAGTGAATCATTACAGAAATTAATTGTTGTGCTTGGTGTCTTCCCCTGATTTGCACACAGGGTTCTCAGCTACAAGGCTCCCTGGTGCCTACACCAAATGACTGCAAGTTGCTTTGTTTTTCTGAACATGCCTTATTTTTGTGATACTCCTCTCTCTTCACTTGCTGGTAGTGTCCCATCTCTGCCCTCCGGGGGCCTTTCCTTATCTATTTCTAACTTGCTGCTTCTAATTTAATATACATGCAAAAGAACCAGACTATTAAACTTGTTAGAGTTACACCTGGAATGATGGCACTTTTTAGCTACCTGTGAAAATTACAGTTTATATTTATTAATAGCATACATTTTTTATTCTTGAGTGTATCCTGGGCTTAAATAACAAGTGATCTGACCATCCTAGTTATGTGCCAAATAGAACATATCTCCATTAAAAGGCCTACTAGGCTACACTTATCTACCCTCTGTGCAAGGGCTAAATTATCAAGGTATTGTGGATTTTCAACATTTATTGAGCATCTATTAAGTGTCATGCACAATGCTAGTCCTTGCTCTCCAGGAGCTTATCCTATAGTAAGGAGGTGACAGAATCATTAACAAGTGACCAATAAAGAATACAATACCATACATGTGTATGTATAAGGACAGAACCATGCACTTGGGTAATGTGGGGCCAGAGCCACTAGTCCAGCATGGGGTTTGTCAACCTCAGCCCTATTTATATTTTGTACTGAGTGGCTTCTTTTTGTTGTGTCGACTGTCCTACTCATTGGTAGGATGTTTGGTCTCATCTCTGGCCTCTAGCCAGTAGATGCCAGAAATACTCCTTAAGTCTCGATGATAAATCTAACACTAATAAAAAGCAGCATGAAATAGTAAATAGTAAAGTTTTTTTAATTCTCTATCATTAATGAGGAAATCGGTACTGAAGCATTCTTGCCTGCTTGCAGATAGTGATTCAAATCTACTTCTGGTTTTTAATGCTATGTTAATGGGAATAGAATTCTCAACACTTCCTTTTTTTTCTTTTTTTTACTCTTCTTCAAAGGCTTTTTCTTTTTTTTTTAATGTTTTATTTATTTCTAGGAGAGAGAGAGAGAGAGAGACAGCGTGAGCAGGGGAGGGTCAGAGAGAGAGGGAGTGACAGACTCCGAAACAGGCTCCAGGGGCTTGAACCCACCAACCGCGAGATCATGACCTGAGCGAAAGTCGGATGTTTAACCGACTAAGCCACCCGGGCACCCCCAAAGGCTTTTTTTTAATAGCAAAATATTCTATACAGATATACATAAATGTAAAGTTTAGTGAGTTGTTATGAGTATCTATGTAACCAGCATTAAAAATCAGGAAATACAGAGGCAGCAGGGTGGCTCAGTCGGTTAAGCTTTGACTTTGGCTCAGGTCATGTTCTCACCACTTGTGGGTTCAAGCCCCGCATTGGGCTCTGTGGTGACAGCTAGCTCAGAGCCTGAAGCCTGCTTCAGGTTCTGTATCTCCCTCTCTCTGACCCTCCCCTGCTCACACTGCCTCTCACTCTCTGCTGTCTCTCACTCTCTCGGAAATAAATAAAACATTTAAAAAATTAAAATAAAAATCAGGAAATACAATCTCAAAGCACTATCCGCCAACTCCCCACCCCTTGCCAGAGCTAACCACTATCCTAATGTTATAAGAATCACTACTTTGCTTTTTTTTTGTTTTCTCCATAAACTGTGCATCCATAAATATAGTACAGTTTAATTTTTCCTGTTTTTAATTTTATATGAAACTATACAATACGTATTTTGAAGGGTTTTCGTCCTCAACGTTTTTAAGATCCCTCTTTGTGTTGCCCTGTCTCATACACTGCACTATCGTATCATAGGTCAGGGTATGGAATAGCACGATTTAATTAGCCGTTCTATTGTTGATGGACACTCCAGTTATTTCCAGTTCGGGTGCGCATAAGTTTGGGGAGTAGATACCCAAAAGTGAAACTGCTGAATCACAGGATATACATATAGCAGCTAACGTTAAGCCATTTGCCAAAGCAGCCGCACCCCTCCATACTCCCATCTGCTGCGGACGCGGGTTCTCTGCCCCACATCCTCTCCAACCCTGGGTGGCTGTCGGAGATTTTAACCTACACCCATCTGGTGAGTACACAGTGATAGATATGGTTTTAATTTGCCCTCTTCTGATTATTTATAACCTAAGCACCTTTTCAATACACAATAAATATTTATTGGCCTTTGGATTTCTTTCATAATATCCTTGTTCAAGTCATTTACCCATTGTTTCCCCGGATTTTCTTTCTTGATGTGTAGGCAGTCTTCACCTATCCTAGCAGCAGTTGTCGCAAATACCTCCTTCCACTCGGTGGCCTGCCTTTCCTGGCTTTCCAACTTTGGGAAGCGGCCCTAGGCAGCCTGGCCCAGAGCTCCCTGTTCTTGAATGATGTCATCACAACTGGTCCCACCCTCTCTGCAAGGGCAGAGGGCGCCACCTCGTGGGCCGGTGCCTGTACTGGCCCCACCTCCTGCGCTGGCCCCGCCCCCTGCACCGCCCGGGGCCTTGTTGGCGTCGGGTCTCCAGGGCAGCACCTGCGCCGCGCGAGGGGCGGGGCCGGGCGGCGGGAGCGGGGGCCCGCAGGTGGCGGCACGGGAGAATGCGGACTGCAGGGGTCGCGGTCGCTGAGGAGCGCTGGGCAGGTGACGGGCGGTTGCCTCCTGAACGGGGGTGCGCGTGCCTGGGAGGGAAATGGGAAGGGATGAGACTTAGTGGGGGGGACAGCAGGGGAGGGAGTAGGGACAGCAGGAAACCTCCAGAGGAAACTGGATCAGGACCAGGAGAAACCCAAGGAGCCGATGCGAGACGGCATTTGGGGTCCAGGCGGCAAGGGGTCCATGGCGAGGCAGGGACAAAGGGGCCAGGGGCTGGCCCATGAAAGGCTTTGGTGCCCAGACTCCCAGAGCAGCCCTGTCCTCTGTTGACTAAGACCAATGCAGGGCACCAGACCCCGGACCCGTCCCTTCCCTGACCTTAAAATACCTTTTGCGTCCCAGTCTTGTCCATTAAGAAAAATAAAAAAGGCAAAAAGAAAACAAACCGACTGCCCCTTATGGGCAGCTTCCAGGCTCTTCCGCGACAGGGCAACTCTCTACTTTTCCTCTTAGCCAGAGCACGAAGAGTTCCCTTTCACCTACAGAAGGAAATTCAAGGTCTTGAAGGGAACCCTAGGGAACCGGCCGGCTCAGTGCCTGGATACCACCGGCTAGATCCTAGCCTGTCTTGTTTACTTTGTAACCGAGATTTGTCAGCCTCTCTAGGTCAGAAATTCAGTGAAAAACAACTGTACCACTAGGGAGCCACTTTCCTTACATTTAAAATGCCCACGTGCTAATTCAAGATACCAGCTTTTCCTTCTTTAATCTCATGCCTTTATAAGATCAGACCTCCACTAAAGCCATGATCCCAGATTTCATTAATTAACAACAAAATTCTCTTCTTCCGTGGACGTTTTTTTATTTGTCAGATCTCAGAAACCTTAGTCTATCTCATTTAAGAACCGTTGAAGGGACTGAATGATTTCATGAAAAACTCCAAATTGAAATAGAATGATTATTTCAAGCTTTGTCTTTGAAGTGCAGAGACTTACACTCGTCCAGTAAAACTCTTACAGATGTTTATACAAATTTTCCATTAAAACGTTAATTAGTACTTGGTGGATTTGCTGCTTTCTAAAAACGCCCTAAAAAGCAACAGTTAATCTGTTTAACAATATTAAGCTAATAAGGTAAACCACACTATGTCGGGTTTAAGTTTTTTTTTTTTTAATGTTTTATTTATTTTTGAGAGAGACAGAATGAGCAGGGGAGGGTCAGAGAGGGAGACACAGAATCCAAAGCAGACTCCAGGCTCTGAGCTGGCTGTCAGCACAGAGCCAGACGCAGGGCTCGATCCCACGAACTGTGAGATCACAACCTGGGCCTCGAACCCACGAACTGTGAGATCACGACCTGGGCCTCGAACCCACGAACAGTGAGATCACGACCTGAACTGCTTAACTGACTGAGCCACCCAGGCGCCCCAACACACTATGTGTTTTTAAAATGGGCCAATAGCAAACCAGTCTGTACAGTTAAACAATAATAGATTAGTCTACCACCTTGGGGGCTTTTGAATTAAAAAGAAAACCACTTCATAATGTACTTAAATCTGAATGCTACCTTTTGTCTGTTTCATTTGTTAAGATATTTTCCTCTAAGGAGCCGATGGTGTTAGCAATTAGGTCAGCATTATTAGCAGTGCAAGGAATAGGAATAAGTTCATGTTATTTCATTAAAGCTAGCATTTGCCAAAAGAACGAGAGAGCAAGCCCTTAAAAATGTTACAGGAACGTGTTGGAAAAGTTTCTGTTATCTGACCTACAGGGAAAAAAAATGGCATAAAGGCAGTGAGAAGACCAGGCAAAATAGGAATGCTAGGGAGAGATGAAAGGGAACGCAATCCAAAATCATCATCTCCTTTCAATCTGATATGAACTCAGAGCACCCTTGCCATAAACAGTCTCATGGGACTTTATGACAGCCGTTTGAGACAGGGAAGGCTTGCTTGGAATCACACACTTAAGAGAGTTAGAAGGGACCCTAAGCTGTTACTCAGGACAATCTCCCACCCGCCCAACATTGTCCAGGACATCCCTCTGATGTAGATAGATGTCTAGCCTCTGCTAGGAATCCCTTAATGACCAAATTCACAAAGCCTTTAAATATTTTGTTAAATGGTTCTAATCAGTGTTCTTTTTTTACTATATATATTGAGCTGAGGTTGATCTCCATGTGATGTCCACCTAAATTACACATTCTTGCCTAGCGGCAAGCTGGGTACCAACATGACGAAAGCAGCCAATACAGGTCTAAGCACAAAAGGCTTCTCTCTTTACTGTTCAAAACCACACTCTTCCCTTTTTTCTCCTTTACTTTTCAAAAGGTAGACCCTGAACTTGTTTTATTCTTTTCACAAATACTCCTGAACTTGGCATACTTATATGGGTGCTCTGGGTGTTTGAAAGCAGGCCACTGAAGTACTATCCATAATTAACCACTTAGCTTGTGTCCAGGCTTGTCTGTAACAGGCCCTTGGAAGGCAGAAAAAGGAATCCAGCCACTAGATTTCCTCAATAAAGCTGCATTTGATTACTCAGGCTGTTTATGAGCTCCACATCAGATGTGTTTTCGTAGGGAGAAAAACACAATAGTTTTTCTAATAGACCTTCCTCCCACAAAAGGGTACATACAAAAGGCTGCAGATAATATAACGGAGTTCTGCTCACTTAAATGTTTAACACTGGAGTTAAAGAGCTTTTAGTAGTCGCAAAGTGACATAAATATAATTGTTTTTTAGGTGATGCTTTTGTGAATCACAACTTTAAATATTCAAGCCAACTGCTTCTATCATCAAGAGTATTTGTATTCACATTCATAGTTTTATTTTTTCAAGATGAGTCACAGTAAATTAATTCCCAAGCTCTCCATTCGCTCTCCTATCCGTCATACCAACTTAAAGGTCCAGTCCACAGAGCCACCTTTCAAGAAAGACTTACATCTGATTGCAAAAGACTCCTTGGAATCTGATTTAGAAAGCTTCACGCAAGAGAGGAAGTCCCAATCTGAACTTGAAGATCAAATCCAGGACAATATGGAGCCCGACAGCTTGGAGGAGGAAAGCCTGAGTGAGACAGAAGAGGAAGCAAGCAGAAAAGTAGCTCAGAAGGATGGCAAGGAAACTCTCCATACCCAGAACAAAGGCACGAACGACAGGTAAGGGATTGGCTGGCGTAAGAGAACAGTGGGTTCTGAAATGTATTATTAAATAATTACATCACAAGCGACAGTAAGGACAGGCTATGGTAACGAATACCTTGTAATGTGTGTGACACTGTCCCAAGGAACAGCTGGAAGCCAGGCTTTTTGCCACCTTCTTTTTTTAACTAAAAAATACGCAAAAGACAAGGATAAGTACTGATAAGGGCATATGCGCTTATTTCCTGTCCATATTCCCAGTGTCTCCATTGCTATGACCTGACCTTGGAAAAACTGCAGGATGCCTGCTATAGGAAAGTGCTGGGACTTGGAACCAGGTGGTCTTGATTTGGCCTAGGCACTGCTATGTAGTGTATAATTTGGAAGTAGTCATTTAACTCTTTTGAGGCTCACTTTTCTCACCTGTCAAACTGATCTTGCCTGCCTGTCTCCCAGGACAGCTATCAATGTCAGTAAATGTGGTTCTGGGAGTGGAATCCTAGCTACCTCCCAGGGCTTCTATCTATAATCACATAAGGATTTAATTTCTAATAATCCCTATTTATGCTGTGTTAACATTATGCTATGTATGGGCTACGAAACAATTTAAGAGAATATAAATGAGTGCATCACTCAGTTTTAATGAAAATATGAATTTTATGACACAGTATGGAAGAAGTTAAAAGCTATTGATTAGAAAAGAGGTTTTCATGGGGTGACGCGTGTGGTCTGACACAGATGGTCTGGGTTCAAATTCTGCAACTTACTAGCTGTGTAACTTGGCCAAGTCCACCTAATCCCTCTGCACCTCCATGCCATCATCAATGACATGGGATAAAAATAGTTCCTTCACTGAGTTTTGAGGCAAAAATCAATCAATATATACACAGAGTATGTAGAATGAAGCTCTGAGTTATGTAGGTATTAGGGGTTTTTTTCCCCAATGGGTAAAATATATTGAAGAAAGTTTATAGAAGGCCTAGAACTTGGGCAGGCAGGGTTTTGGAAAGAAGGTAAAATTTGGCATCAGAATCGGAGTGAACGTGTGACAGGTTAAAGCCCCACTTGTTGGCAGAGGAACATAGAGAAAGAAGACGGCATAGGGCCCTGATTATAGGGGCTGTAGTGAGTGCCACCAGCCCACACCCCAGACAGGGCATTGAACACAGAACCCACCAACCTACCCAGCAGGCGGCCTGGGTTGGGTACACCAGGGGGAGAGAATATAGGTTCTTGGGGACACCTGGGAGACAAAGCCATGTGTAAGGAAGATTATCCTGCACCAGATGCATCGTGAATTAGAGGGTAAACTCATGATGGGTAAAGAAACTACCCAATAGTAATAATTACAGCAGTGACAAAAATATCTCTTTTTAAAGGCCTCTTCAATTTTTTTTAACATTTGTTCATTTTTGAGAGAGAGAGAGTATGCAAGTGGGGAAGGGACAGAGAGAGAGGGAGACAGAGAATGAGAAGCAGGCTCCAGGCTCTGAGCTGTGAGCACAGAGCGCAACACAGTGCTCGAACCCACGAACCGTGAGATCATGACCTGGGCCGAAGCCGGACGCTTAACTGACTGAGCCACCCAGGCGCCCCTAATTTCTTGTAATTCTCATTGTCATCCTGCAAGAAAATGCTGCTATTCCCATGTTATGGATAAGGAAAATGAGGTGAACAGAGAACAAGTAACTTGTTGGACATCATAGTGCTATGGGAGCAGGTTTGTGGTTTTGTTCTTGATGTTGATTTAAATTTCAACAAAATTCTGGGGCACCTGGGTGGCTCAGTCGGTTAAGCATCTGACTCTTGATTTCAGCTCAGATTCTTGAGATTGAGGCTGGTGTTGTGGAGCCTGCTTGGAATTCTCTCCCACCCCTTTCTGCCCTACCTCCACTCATGCTCTCACACTCTCTCTCTCAAAATAAAGAAAGATTAAAAAAATAAAATGATAAAATCCTAATCTACAGATTAACCCTTATTGCCATATATGTGTGTCATATTTTTTTTAAAGACCTAAACTGTTACAGATAAAGTTTCCTTATTCCCCTTCTCAAACCCATTCCCCCATCTGCCTCCTCATAGATAACAAATATGCACACTTCTGTGGATATATATCCTCCTTAGCAAACTTCTACTCATTTACTGCATAGATAATTTATCATTAGAGGAGAATGAGAAAGAGAATATGGGTTGACAGGGCTCACTGACATATTAGATATGGCGACTGAAGGAAGAAGAGAGGCCTAAGGTTACTATAAGATTTCCATAACAATAGCCAGCATTTACAGAATGTTTATCATGAGCCCATCACTGTGCTAAACACTTTATGTGTATTATCTCATTTAATCTGTATGGCAACCCTCTTAGGAGATGCTATCGTGATCCCCATTTTCAAGGCTACACACAGGCTTAAAGGGATTGTATTATATACGTTTATTACATCAAGTGAGTGGTAGAGAAGAAAACTCACTCAGTCTGACTTTGTGCCTTAAGCCATGTTTTTATCATAGCTCTGATGTGAGAGTCAGAATCTCCTAGGTAATAAATGGTAGTAGTTTTATTGTTTTTTTTTTTTCTTCCAGAAATGAGGGCATTGGAAAGGACAGATCTTTTGCAGTAGATAGGCATTCTTGTCTGTACTTTTACAAGGGAGAAACCAAAGCAAGAATCCATTAAGTGACCTCATTCCCCCAATGTTGAGTTTTCCCTCTTTTGGGTCCAGCACTCAGGGAGCAAACCTTGCCCCCTTGATCTTTACCCAAGGACAATGTAAACGCCACTCAATAGATTTCAAAATAAAGACTCCTACTTATAGAAATCAAAATTATGGTCAGGGCCTTTGTCTTCTGATTCAGGGAGCCATAAAGATTGATGTTTTTCATGGACTGATTTTATTTAGAAATCTTAAATGACAGACTGTCATCCTCGGAGTTAGAATGGCTTTTAGCCCTAGTAATTGTTTGGCGGTGTAGTGTACATGGAACATTAGGAGGGCCAGTTCTCCGCTACAAAGGAAAACAGGACTCAAGCATTTAGCCAAATAATGCCTCAAAAATATCATTCAGGTTAGTTACTGGGCTTTTTCACTTTAGTCCTGGAAACCTTTCCTCTGTGCATTTGTTGCTTGCCTCTGGGTAGTTAGCTAGCCATGAATGGACGAATTGATCCCAGGCTCTCACTATGAAATTCAAGTAGGCTTTCATTTTTGCAAGGTAGATGGTATTCTGGGAATTGTAGTTCAAAACAATTAGTCAAAGCCTTGCCTTAAAACCATGAAAAAATCTCTTTCTTCTTGCTGTTATAAGCAACAATTTTAAAAGCTGCCTGACAAATCACTTGAGCCCTACTCTTCTGTTTTGATGTTACCAGGACCTCCTCAAAGCAATTACTTTCTTGTATCTCACCAAAGTCAAGCCATAGTTCAATGTATATGGATTAGAGAAAACCTTTTACTTAATGGAAATTGGAGCAGCATTGACTACGGTGAATGAATCAAGAGTGGAGAAAGGATCTCCACGTGATAATCCTTAAACCCCACTCCACAACTAGCCATAGGAAACTCGTGCTGGCAAAGAAAGAGATCAATGTAATTCTTAGAGCATTAGAAATAACCTCTTCAGTCCTGGGGCCTCTGAAACCTTGTATGTTTAAAAAAAAATTAGGGGGCAGCGGTACTGTGCCTAGCATATGTGTTTAATAAGAATACTTAAATGTAATTAGCTACCGTTTGTAGAACTATTGCTTTATATACACTATCTCATTTATCCTTACAAGAGCCTCGTAGGCATTATTATCCCCATTTTGCAGATAAGGAACCAAGGTTTTGACAGTCATGTAGGTATCTGGAGTTTTGACGTGGCAGAGCCAGAAACTGAACTGAATGAAAGCTCTCCTAACCGACGCCGGATCCTCTAATTATAAGTTAGATAGGTGATCAGGGCAGACCTGATAAAGGATTCCATTTTACTATCTAGCAAAAATTAAAGTTGTAACAATCTCGATATGGATTAAATGGAGGCCAGAGTAAATATGCATGTGAGGTTGTACATTTTGGTAAAGTAATACACATGTTTCTCAAGGATACTGTGCCTTTGCAACAAATAAACATTGATTGTATTTTGCTTTGGGCAGCAGGGTCATCGTAGCCTATATGCCTCAGCATCTCTCCTGGGAAACAGAAATATTTTCATTAATTAAAGATTATAGGTGTCTTTTGCATAGCCTGGGAACGATAGCCTTCACCAAAGATCCCATGTTCTAATAAACCACCTTGTACCAGAAATTATTGGGTAGGAAACAGGCACAAGGAGGAATTTTTTTTTGATGTTTATTTTTGAGAGAGAGATTGCGGGGGAGCGGCAGAGAGAGAGAGGGAGACCCAGAATCCGAAGCAGGCTCCAGGCTCTGAACTGTCAGCACAGAGCCTGATGTGGGGCTCAAATTCACGTGCTGGGAGATCATGACCTGAGCCAGAGTCAGATGCTTAACCAACTGAGCCACCCAGGTGCCACACAATCAGAAATTCTTGAACTATAATTCTGAAAATGGTCTAAAAGTAAGAAAGGGACTTAGTAAGAATAATCTGCATATTTATCGTTCTGTGGTGGTATAGGATTTTCCTCTCAAATACTTGCGCACATGTTATTCCTGATTAATAATACAAGAATCAAGTGGAAGGCTTAGAGCAGTGCTGAAGAACCAAAACAGTGGGTAAAGAGAGACTTAGTACTGAGCAAAACTCAGCATTTCATTTCCAAATGTCCTAGGCTGATTTGTAGAACACACTGGAAATCTTAAGTTGGGGGCAGACTTTCTCTCACAGGCAGTGTAGAGATTTGTTTTGTTTTGTTTTGTTTTTTTGCACTGGTTAGGAGAGTTAGAATGACACCTGAGGGCACACTGAACATGCTAATATTAGTAGGGACATTGAGAGAGCTTCCGGGAGCCCACATTCATCCCTGCTGGTCTCTAGAAACATTCATCCATGTTGATTTTTATTGACTTTATTAGATAGATTT